GAAGAGGTCAGCGCCAGGCTTCTCTACCGTGGCATTCAGCCTTCTATAGAATTCGGAGTCATCATGGGCACGCCATCATCTCTCTCTCTGAGATACTCCCCAACAATTGGAATTGGTATATTCCAAGAAAGTTCGAAACGAATAACGAAATACCAAAGCCTGTTGGATTATCAAAATGGCTGCCACTGCTAATTGGACGAGTAAGGAAGGCGTTCGAAAAAATATGAAATGAGCATTGGCCCTATGGCTTATGCTCACTATACTGCCTTCAGAGGGAGTCCAAGAGAAATATTAAGCGCAGTACACAACAACTCTAATGGATCCCAGTGAAACTATAATAGCGAGGATAGGTCCCCTGTTGGACAGCGGTTATAGTTCCCCTGGTGTTGACCTCTTCCTGCCCCTGTTGGACAACGAGGACAGGTGTTCTCTTCTGTTGGCCAGGTAGGATAGTTCTCCTGTTGGACAGCGAGGATAGGTCATCTATCGCACAGAGAAGAAAGGTACCTTGTTTGAGGCGATTAATTCCCTGTTGCACAACGAAAATAGATCTATTGAACAGATACTGGGTGTAGCTGTAGTACAGGACCACTGGGCGCATCTCCAGTAGAGGAACAGCCAATTATGGATTATGTTCACCATACTATGGGAAGGGTTATGTGACTCCAGGCAGTGGATATGTGGGCCTGCGGGCCGCTCCAAGTAGCAGCCTGTTGGACCAAGATATCGTAAGTTAAGCCTGACTGCCCCAGGCCGGGCTTGGAGGAGTAGAATCCCAGAACAGCTATACTTCAGGGCCATGAGAGCACTACGACACATTATAGAGCAAATAAAGTCACACAAAGGTCTCAAGTAAAAATCCTCGTCTTTAGGAGAATTCGAGACACAAAGATTTAATCAGGAAAAATAACGGAGCAGTCAGCGCCATCAATAGACTTAGATCAATCCATAAACACAACAGCAGCACATTAGAGCTTTGCAAAACTTACAAAAGCTGGACTCTGCACAGGAGTAAACTAGGAACAATACATGAGGGACAAACATTACGAAAGTGTGGACGGAGGGAAGTAAATCCTTGTCGTAAAGGACAGCAAGGAAGAGTGAGCAGGACGCCGTATGGAGGCGGCGGCCACAGTGAGGTACAAGCTTCAATAAAAGATTTTGTAGGCACCGCGAAGAATCTAATATCAATCCCGACGGTCTTGCAACGATCGAACTCTTTACATACAAGTTCTTGGTCAGGGGAGGAAAACGACTGTGTCACCGAGCTGAGGCACAAGTCAGTATGCAGCAAAGCATCAAAATGACGAAGGTCGAGGACGAAGTTGACGAAAACACGGGGCACCCACTGTTACGGCCCTACTGGGGCGTAACCGGGTTCTTTTCTGGTGTTATTAGAATTTGGGAATCCGGCCCCAAGTCAGTAGAGGCTTTCAAGGGATGTGTTCCGTAACGCAAGTTAACTTAAAGGGGGAGGGATACAAATGTTCTGATTTATATATATTATTTCACCACCACCATAAATAAATATATAAGTCACACGGGGGTTATGAATACACTGTAATATACAGAGTTGTCTTCCTCTGAAGACAACAGGATGCTCCACGGTGCTCACGATGAGTAGCCCTGGTTCTCTTCTTCGGCCCACGATGAATCCTCTTTGATTCTCTCGGCGAATCTACCCTAGCCACAGGCCAGCCAAATCACAGTCCCACTGGGTGCTCCATCGTGGAGGCCTTCAACCACAATCCAGCCTGTAGCTGGCAGGTTCCGATCAGCTCCACTGTGTAGGCCACTCCACGACCGATACTAGGGTTGCGAGCCCTAGGCAGGAGCCTCGTGTGATCCCGCTGATCACCCTCCTCTCTAAGTACCACAGTGGCTAGTCTCTTCCACCAGCCAGCCCCGGATAAGGCGATTCCTGATACTGCCACGTCACAGGCAGGCTAACACTCTCAACAGTGTTCGTCCGGGGGTGACTCACAGCTTCTTCAAAGCAAACTCGTGGAGAAACCTTGGCTCCCTTGGGTAGACTGATCCATCGTCCAATACAGCAGTCCCAGGTCGACTCTGTAATCAGACACGTCATTAATACTGGGACTAGGGAACCTCACTTACAGGCTTGGACACAAACGTCCACCTCTCTGCTCCATAGATGGCGTTGCTGTCTAAGCGCCACCTCACCAGAGGTCAGCAGCGGCTATGTTATGAGCTGATTAAGACGGGAATCCAGCACCTATGGCCGGTATATCCCGTCCTCACTAGATGGCATTGTCCATTTGGAGAGGGCTTCGGGAGCGGACTCACAGATGGCGTTGTCGTCACTGCTCCGTGCTACGCCGTAACACCCACACAGGAGTTTAGTTAGTGCTACAGGGCATAATGAACCGCATCCACGAGGTGTGTGACACGACTCTGCGTCATGCAAGGTTCTTGAAGCACTGCGCCTGTCGGTACTGGAGGTGGTGATGACCAAGACAAGCAGGCGTCAAAGAGTAACCTTTAGTGTTTCGCATGATCTTCATATAAAGGTTAACATTGCTAGAAATTTAAGGACAGCGAAGGATGATGCGTTTCCTAGTAAAAGTCACAGGGCAAATTTTCGTAGATGAGAACTTAAAGCCGTCCTTGGTAGTCCAGGACGACACATTATTGATCGCAAGCTGGAGCCGGCACCGAAGAAGGAAAAATCGTTACTGCAACATACAATGTGGAGGTGGTCAATATAAAATAAAGTATAAACTTCCAGTGTGTAAGGAAGGACTGAACATTAACAGCACCCAGAAAGAGCGGTGTGTAAAACACTGCCTTGAGGAACCCCATATTGGTGATAAGAGGCAGAGAAAGCAGTTCCATAACAAATTTTATAGGTACGGCCGAAGAGGGGCCGTACGGAACTTGGAGGGACGAGCGACAAATTGCCTCGGAGGCCAATAGAATGCAATTCCGGTAAAATGTGTTATTTCCAAGTATTGCCATACGCTTTCTTCAGGTCTGCAGAGACGCCCAGAACCCACTTACCTGCAGTAAAGTGTTGGGAATGTAAACTTTTAAATCTACTGGCTGCCGGCCGTGTTGCCACACTATCGAAAGCCAAATTGTGAGAGAGAGAGAGAGAGAGAGAGAGAGAGAGAGAGAGAGAGAGAGAGAGAGAGAGAGAGAGAGAGAGAGGAGAGGGAGAGGGAGAGGAGGGAGAGGGAGAGGAGAGAGAGAGAGGAGAGAGAGAGAGAGAGAGAGAGAGAGAGAGAGAGAGAGGGAGAGGGAGAGGGAGAGGAGAGAGAGAGAGAGAGAGAGAGAGAGAGAGAGAGAGAGAGAGAGAGAGAGGAGAGAGAGAGAGGGAGAGGAGAGAGAGGGAGAGGAGAGAGAGAGGAGAGAGAGAGAGAGAGAGAGAGAGGAGAGAGAGAGAGAGAGAGAGAGAGAGAGAGAGAGAGAGAGAGAGAGAGAGAGAGAGAGAGGGAGAGAGAGAGAGAGAGAGAGAGAGAGAGAGAGAGAGAGAGAGGGAGAGAGAGAGAGAGAGAGAGAGAGAGAGAGAGAGAGAGAGAAGAGGAGAGGGAGAGAGAGAGAGGAGAGAGAGAGAGAGAGAGAGAGAGAGAGAGAGAGAGAGAGAGAGAGAGAGAGAGAGAGAGAGAGAGAGAGAGAGAGAGAGAGGGAGAGAGAGAGAGAGAGAGAGAGAGAGAGAGAGAGGGAGAGGAGAGAGAGAGAGAGAGGAGAGAGAGAGAGAGAGAGAGAGAGAGAGAGAGAGAGAGAGAGAGAGACACACACACACACACACACAGACAACCAGGTGTAACCATGACTGGTAATCACCTTCACCGTGTACATGGTTGCATATTTTCACCTCTTATGTGTCCATTGTTTACCGTGTTCTCCTTTACTCACCTTTGCCTTCCTCTCCCTCTGCCGCTCACCCTGCTTACTTCTTTGTTTCTCAGTTCCCCTTTCTCAGTGTTTAACTATTTACATTTGATCATTTTCACACGCTCCCCTTTCTACACACTTCTTTCAATACGTATCTCTTGTTTCAAGTTTCTTCTCTCCTTTCCCCTCGATCTCCCCTTCTCCTCCCTTTCCCCTGCATCTACCATTCCCTTCCCTCTCTCTTTTCCTATGGCCTTCCTTCTCCTCATCCCTTTCCCTCTGCCCCCACCCCCCTTCCTTCTCCTTGAAAGGCGGCTCTCCACCTGCCCCAGTACATCTTCTCATCTGCCTAACGTCATCTGTTGACGTTCCTTCATCTGTTGTTGTGTCGTCTCCTGTGTTATCTCAGTCTTCCCTTCTTTATCACGGTTCTCCTCTCCACCCTTCATTATACCCGTCTGTGTCCCACTACGTGATCACGCTTCCGGGTTCCTTAGCTTGTCCTTCTGTCTCTCCTTATAATTATTTCCCCTTGTCGAGGGACAGGAATTAAGCCTGTACCTTATCTTGTGTCGAGGTCACCCCCCTAGGTCAACTGCTGACCTTACCCAGGATGCAATTTATATTTCTGTCCCAGCAGGATATCGAACCAGCCCATCCTCCTGTTTAGTTACTACTTACATTAACTATGAGGACCATAGTACATATATGACGTAATGGCCAATTTGAGAGTATAAATCATTACTACTGAGTTTGGACAAACCGGAAAAGGTTTTGTATTTATGTTGCAAAGACAAGCTAAACTAACCTAACCTAACCTTCCTAGGCCTAATACACTATATCTGAGGCCTAATATAGTACATATGTGTGCTATACTAGGCCTAGGAATATTTAAGTTTGTTTTTAGCATTATTTTGTTTGTACTTTATAAGGTGAATAGTACCAAATTCTATTATCTAATTGCCTTTAATGTCAATATTTATACTACGGTGAACAGTTACAAAAAAGTACTATCTAAACTGGAGGATGTATCCTCCTTCATTCATCCCATTTATCTCCTTCCATTATCACCACCTTTACTACCTTCTCTTCGCCTCTTTTTCCCTCAATTTAAACTCCTACTCTTCGTCCTCTTCCCTCACTTTTCCAGCTCCTCCCACTCCGTCTCCTCCTTCAGCGCCTCCCTCAGCTGGTGGCGGCCGCGTGCTGAGGGCGGCGGCCCGCCACCCCGGGTCTGAGGGCCTCCGCCACCACCCACTAACTTAATACCTTTCATCAGCCTCCATGGAATATTCCACGCCCGGCTCCCATTTGAATTTTTAATTGGCATCATTCTTGAAGCCCGGGAGAACTGGCGCCATTGTTTCTTCCCCGCCTTCTTTCCCCCCCCTCCCCCTTCTACTCTTTCTTCCTCCCACTCCTCATCTTCTCTCTCTCCCCTCTTGGTCTCTCACGCGGCAGGAAGGTGTCTTCGAGAAGGTCACCATTGAGGTCACTGTGCATAGATCACCATAGCGATCTCTGGAAGGCTACCACGGCGCAGATCACGTCTGAATTGTGAGCCACTTAAATTTTGAGAAAAGGCTGGACTAACAAAACAAGAAATATTGACCCGAAAGAATAAGAGAATAATGCTTTCTGGAGCAGCATACTAGAGCGGTCCTCGGGGGGTGAGAGGGGATTGGGGCCAGGTCAACTTCTGGGACCAGCAAGGGACCACTCAGGGACCCGCCCTCACCCCTCACAGTGCTGGTGTGAGGGGTGAGGGCACCGTACACCGAGTGGTACCAAACAAGAGACACTATGACATTGAAAAGAGGAGTGAAAAGTGAGGATATTGAAGGCTTATGACACATAACGGTTGTCTCTTTTCTAGGAGAAAACTCAGTGGTCGTAAGGCTTATTATGAGGGGTTCATGTAGGACCTGGCAACATGGGGCTGAGGGAGAACGGCCCTCACACCATAACACTGAAGAGAGCAGCCCTCACACCATAACACTGAAGAGAGCAGCCCTCACACCATAACACTGAAGAGAGCAGCCCTCACAACTCGAGGCAAAACCATTACAGTTTTACAACAGCAGGCAACATCACCATACTCACTACAACACAAGCAACAACAGTAGATTAAGCAGCGTGCTAAAAATACTAAACACAATTCATCAAGAAGCCCGGAAGACCTAGCGGGCAGCGAGGTGTCCACCAGAGGGACCATTTGCCGGCGTGGAGACACCACAAGAAGGCAGCACAATAGCAGCTAGGAGCCGCCCCCTCCTCTCCCGCCCTGCACAATCTGTCACCACGACCAGACCGGTGACCAGCACCTCTTGTTACCCGACCTCACCCCTCGCCCTCACCTCACGCCCCACCCCACACCTGTGGCACGGGCGGGCATACATGGTGTGGGGTGCAGGGCCTCCTCCCTGACGTGAGTGTGCACTGTGCACCCACCTGTGACCAACGAGGACGCACCTGTGTACACCAAGACACTGACCTGTGCACACCAAGGTCAGGGTTGTCAGGGGAATAATAATAATGTTTAGAGACAAATGATGACTCTTGCGATGTATGAAGGTAACAGGGAGGGGGGGGGTAAAGGGTTGAGTAACAAGGATAAAAGGAAGGCGAGAAGGATGAAGGGAAGAGAAGAACAAGTATTGAGAAAGAAGCAGAGAGGAAGAAGACCAATGCCAGAAGACAAAGGTGTGAAACAAGAGTGGTAAATAACGATAAGACGGGGATAAAGTAAGGAGATAGACGTAGGGAAAGGCATGGGGAGGATGGGACAGGAAGGGATGGGGACAGAGAGGGAAGAGGAGGATGGGACATGAAGGGATAATACTGCAGGAAGGGTGGATGGGACAGGCAGAGAGGAATAGGACAGAGAACAAAGGGGAAAGATATTAGAAAGGATTCAACAGAGAATGTAGAAGGTGTATGAAGCATGAGGGAAGCATGAGGGAAGTGTGAGGGAAGTGTGAGGGAAGTATGAGGGAAGTGTGAGGGAAGTGTGAGGGAAGTGTGAGGGAAGTATGAGGGAAGTGTGAGGGAAGTATGAGGGAAGTGTGAGGGAAGTGTGAGGGAAGTGTGAGGGAAGTATGAGGGAAGTGTGAGGGAAGTGTGAGGGAAGTGTGAGGGAAGCATGAGGGAAGTGTGAGGGAAGTGTGAGGGAAGTGTGAGGGAAGTGTGAGGGAAGTGTGAGGGAGGTGGTGGTGAGAAGGAAGACGGAAGGTGGCTTAAGAAGAAAAAGGGGGCAAGAGAAGGTAAGAATTATAAAATGGGTCAAGAGAGAGAGGGAGTGGGAAATAAAAGTATAGAGGTAATAACAACATAAAGGAAGGGTAGTCAAGCGTAAGGGCTTAAAGGAAAGATACTAAGTGTGTAAGTCAAAGAGAAGCAGAGGGAAGCATCTGGGTCATCCCGGGTTATCCCAGGTCATCCCGGATCATCCAACGTCATCCCAGGTCATTTCCGGTCATCCCAGGTCATTTCGGGTCATCTAGGGTCATCCCGGGTCATCCCAGGTCATCCCGGATCATCCCGGGTCATCCCGGGTCATCCCGGGTCATCCTGGGTCATCCCACCACAGCAGAACCCCCTTAACAGTCTTAAACGTTAACGCACACTGGACTGTATAATGCTACTTTCTGAAATATATATAAATATTATTATATTATAATTTTGTCTACAGTTAGGCCTAGGGTAGATGAGGTTGTGTTTCGGTTGTGTTGGCAAGTATATGTGTCTGCAGTTCGTACGAAGGTGAAGCATTTAGGGAGTACGATACAAAGAGCGAGAGCGAAGCACTGTTCTAGAAAAGTTGGAACGTAATCAGTTGGGAGTCGTGTGTAAAGGATTTTTAATCCCAACCCGTCCTCGGGCAGGGCTCGTCCATGGTGGGGTCGACCCCAACCCGTCCTCGGGCAGGGCTCGTCCATGGTGGGGGTCGACCTCAACTCGTCCTCGGGCAGGGCTCGTCCATGGTGGGGGTCGACCCCAACCCGTCCTTGGGCAGTGATCGTCCATATAATGAAAACAGCTCATTCTATTTCTCCCACTACTCTTACACTAAACGAAAACTCTTAACATTTCTATGTTTCTTAAGCCTCCGTCCACGCCCTCTTATTTTATTGGTAATCATTGTGAATATCACTTTTTTCACTTGCCAGCCTTCACCCCCGGTAATATTTTGTCTCGCTCTCTCTCCTCCTTTCTAGTAACGTTAGGTCTATGCAGCTCGTCCTCTCGAACGTTCACAGCGTCACTAAACTGCCTGAACCTAACCTAACCGAGGACACACCAATAGAAAACGGGACATCACGTCAATCTTGCGAGTCATTTATAGTACATTAGTTTTTGGCCGTTGGGGATTTATTTGTCAAAAATGCGATGTACTGTTGGAGAGGCCGGGTTCTGTGCGCGCGTGCACGCTCTCAGCCTCAAAGCCATAATGTTGCCTTGCATTATGTGTAGTTAATCTGAACTTACACTTATGAAACACACGGAAACTATTTGCACCTGAGTAAATTCCGCTCGCTAGAGGCCAAGCCTCATCAACTTTAAATCAATTTAAAACATTCTAGTGAAAATTTTAATGCATTGTGGTAGGTATAATAATTGAATTATGATCGTTTAATATGTTCTTATCTTTTATTTAGTGCAACGACGATAAAATATTATATACATTATCTCAGGGAAAAACACAATAGCAGTAATTAAAAAAAACATAAACCGCAGAGTAATTTGAAGAGGAAATGATTGGGCGAGAGAGAGAGAGAGGAGGCTACCGCTCCCCACCAGCCCGGACCTGTGGGTGAATGTATGCCAGAGAACACCTCACAATACTGACCCTCACTCTCAACTTGCCAGCCTCTGCCTAATGGTAAAGGCGACATATGTTTTAAACCTGGACATTGAGAGCGTCGGGGCTGAGGATGTGCGCACCACCACTATAACCCACTATTGAAGCACCGCTACGCTGATGGCATGACGCCCTCGCTAGTCGGGTCCAGGCCGTCTGCCAACGCACTACTTACTCTACCCAACTCGTTACCTTAAACCATGTCTCTCGCTCGCCCGGGAATCACTTCGTTACAAATACGAACTCTCCACCCTTGTTCAAATGAAAGATATTGTGTACTAAGCTGCATATTAGCTAACAACTCACAATATTTGAAAATGTAAACTAGATATGGCAAATATTTCTCTCCTCTTTAGCGTTAACGCTTCAGAAAAGTTTGTAAAAAGCGGAGACTAAACCTTTCGCTTGTCATTGGTATTTATATACTTTTCTCCGAATACTTTTGTAACCTGTAGTTTATACATGAACCATCATGAGGTACCTCTCAGAATATATATAAATATATATATATATATATATATAGGGGGGTACCACCACTGGTGTAATTATAGGGACCCACAGCCTCAGAGAAGGGAACACAGAGCACTCAGGGAAAAACTTGACATTTAACTCTGAATACGAAAGAGTGTTCACTTCTCCTACCACCCCCTTTTTTTTTATTATGATGTACACTTTATTATGCAAGGTTATACAGTTACATATCTGATTTTATACAAAAAAATGAACATTAAGAGGACACAAGAAAAAGTTCGCTTCCTAGAGGCTGTAGATTTCCTCGAACTCCTCCGACGCCGGGCAGGAACCGAGGATGCAGCGGGCATTTCCCCTCTGGATCGCGACACTGAGGCGCTGAAAGAGAAAACTTGCTGCTCTAGGGTCTCTTGTGGTGTCAATGAGCTTGGAACCAAGATCCTTAAGAAACCTTCTTGCACTCTCACCCCATGGGCCTAGGGTCTCAGACCCTATTGGAACGAAATTGTACCTTTGATCTAATATACCTTTGATCTATATATATATGATTATTAGAATGTTTGAGGGAAGCCCATGGCGCATAAAGGCCCGTGAGGCTCATAAACACTTATGGGCCTTCCCTCACCCAATTTTTAACATCAATTGCTGTTATACATGTCCATCGTGGTCAGGTTGGGGTTGGCATAAATGAAACAAGTGCCACTTGACACGGTGCCATGGAAGCCCCTACACCGAATTTTGGAATAACAAGTTAACTGGAATTATTATTTGTATTTTGTTTTTCAGTGTTTTTCTAAGTAGTGTAAATAATTACACATTGATGTCTGCAAAATTAAAACAAATTGTATTATACTTTAACTGTAATATGTATTGATGATGTCATACTTCCCCATCAACGAAGCTGATCAGCCTCCCGCCCCGGGGGTCGTCCTCCACTCTCACACCCCCGCCCCGGGGGTCGTCCTCCACTCTCACACCTCCTGCCCCGGAGGTCGTCCTCC